GCACATGTGGACTAACCTAAAGGACTTTATACGTAGGGACTGCACGTGTGGACTAACCTAAGAGACTTTATAGGTAGGGACTGCACTTGCAGACTAACCTAAGGGACTTTATATGTAGAGACTACACTTGTGGACTAACTTGAGGGACTTTATAGGTAGGGACTGCACGTGTGGACTAACCTAAGAGACTTTATAGGTAGGGACTGCACTTGTGGACTAACCTAAGGGACTTTATTGGTATGGACTGCACTAAGGGACTTTATAGGTAGGGACTGCACATGTGGACTAACCTAAGGGACTCTATAGGTAGGGACTGCACTTGCGGACTAACCTAAGGGACTTTAGAGGTAGGGACTGCACTTGCGGACTAACTTAAGGGACTTTGTAGGTAGGGACTGCACTAAGGGACTTTATAGGTAGGGACTGCACATGTGGACTAACCAAAGGAACTTTATAGGTAGGGACTGCACATGTGGACTAACTTAAGGGACTTTATAGCTAGGGACTGCACTTGTGGACTAACCTAAGGGACTTTATAGTTAGGGACTGCACTTGCAGACTAACCTAAGGGACTTTATAGGTAGGCACTGCACATGTGGACTAACCTAAAGAACTTTATACGTAGGGACTGCACATGTGGACTAACCTAAGGAACTTTATAGGTAGGGACTGCACATGTGGACTAACCTAAGGGACTTTATAGGTAGGGACTGCACTTGTGGACTAACTTAAGGGACTGTATAGGTAGGGACTGCACTTAGGGGACTTTGTAGGTAGGAACTGCACTTGTGGACTAACTTAAAGTGCCTGTGAAATGGCTGCTATTTTCACGCCTAAAATTATCCATTGATACATAAATATTATTAATTTTTATGTTTCTAAGCATGAATTATTTTTAAAAGTGAAAAAATGTGTTTTAAACTCAATCTACGGCATCTTTATTTTTGTGTATTTTACAACGAGGCTCCTCATTAGTTTCTTATTTGTATACAGAAATTCCCCTTGTGACGTCAGAAGGGGAAGTCGCATGGCAGCTTGCATTGCCGATGCGTGTAAATAAGGCAAATTTCTTCTGCAGTTTTCTAGTTTTTGACAAAATTTTCACTTATGTACTTGTTCGTCGAGGAGGAATGGACCATAATGAACACATAGTATCAATTTTTGTTGCATGGGGTTGAGTTAGATGCGAAATATGTTCGTTCTGGTGTAGCTGGTCATCGTGATCGTCAGCGGCGCACGTTTGTACACAGTCACTGGACAAAATAGAATTTGACGTCGGAATTATCTCGTTATTTAGCAGGTTACTAGGCACATCACTACACTGTTTTATTTCATCGATCGTCTGAGTAAAACTTTCAAAATTAAAATAAAAGAGAACATATTTTTACATTCTAAACATTAGACTATATAGTGATCACTATAAAATAATTAAAAAAAACGACAAATCACAGTTACTAAATAAATGACAGCCGCGTGGGAATAAATTGAAATTTTGTTGAAATAGGTGAAGGGTCACGATAAAGGCAAGTGCGTTAAAAGCGGCGTTTAATTGGATAACAAAAATAATCGAGATCGACACACATACAGATAAATTCAGAGTGGATTCGAGTTAGCGTGATCCATGGCGTGATTGATAATTATAACATCATATTAAAACTTTATTTGGTGGAAACACATTGACCAAGCCCGGATTCTTATTATTATTATGCAGATCAAGCTGCAAGCATGGAGGTGTAAAAAAAGAACAGAGGTGTGAATTCGACATTCAACACCAATCACCAAACAATTCAGAAACTTTTACCCTTCGAAAATGAAAACAATTAGCAGTGTGTAAGGGCTGTGTAATTTCCTGTTTGTCCGTCGCTTCGTTTTCGTGTCACTGTCAAAATTATTGCTACTTTTTACTTACTTAACAGGGACTAAATGGTCTCTATAAAACGATAATCACGATCGCAAAAAAAGTCAACTCATTTGAAACACTTGCCGGACGTCTCTCTCTTCTGAAATCCGCCTCGGTGATCATAGTCCGGAATCTATTTCTTTCAAAAGTGTTTCTCTTTAAACCTAGTTGTTTTTTCATGGACGAGGACAGTTTTTCCAAAAAAACGAATCTGAGGTTAAGTGGCTTTCGTCCACTGATGTCGCACCTTCGGATCGATTAGAAATGTGTGAATACTTACCCTTTGACTTTACGTTTCACTGCAACTGCCCACAACACAACATCTAAAAACTCTCTCTCAAAAAAAAAGAAAATAGACCAAAAAAAAAGAAAAAAAAAATGCCAACTGAAAAATGTATATCGTTTAAAAGTATACTGAATGACCAGTGTTATTACGGCTCAGGGGTATGATTTCCTCTCACATTTTGGCATTTGGTGGCGCACTTTCCGCGAGAGTTGGAAATCCGGAAACAGTCGACCGTTTCAGGATAGGTGGGCGTGGCTACAACACGAGAAATATCCAAAATTTACTTGGATACGAGTAATCATTTTCAGCAAAAAAATCAATAACTGCCCATTTCAGTGGGACACAGATCTAAAATGAGAAACGTGAGGGTGGGCATTGCACAGGCACTTTAAGGGACTTTATAGGTAGGGACTGCACTTGTAGACTAGCAATTATACACTAACAATGGCGTTGTAAAGTACTGTATTCTAATCATCCTGTGTTTTTAGCTGAGGAAGATGTTGTTTTCCTCTATACTACACTATTGCGAATCTCATTGAAATAAGGGTTAAATACACAAGGTACTAGTTAAATTAAAGAATAGTGGTCATCGGCATAATCTTCACTACCTACCACCTGGCCCACAGTGAAATAACACTGTATTGTTTTAGATGTTTAGATGGTGTGAAGATGACAACACTTTGAAGTGAAAAATGCACATACAAGATGTTCTGTTCATCTCTTTTTTTAGGGAAGTGCATTAAAGTATTAAATGGGGAACACAGAGGAAGTAAAGCTGTGCTGCTGGCACTGAATCAGAAGAGCTTTTCTGTAACAATTAAATTAGAGTCGGTGAGTTTTTTTGGAATGTGTGTGTCCGAGAATTCTGAGAAAAAAAGCTTGGTTTTTACTATAATTATTTAATTATGGTGATGTATTTGCCAACATTGAAGTTGAAACCTTGTTAGCGTGGAATAGTAAACTGAGTTTTACCGGTTTGTTAGTTTTATCTCAACTGACAGAACACGGTATAAATACGTTACCTGTGATACATGGCATTATCAGACATGAAACAGACGACGTTTCAAACTGAATTTATAATATTTTTTGACCTAATGACCTCAAAAGTCATCTATCCTGCTACTTTATGGGGAAGAAATTATCTAACAATTAAAATACAAAAAGATGACTTCGTTAGGGTTACATTTCCTGCTGAAAATCAAGTCTGCAGGCATCGTGTTAACAAAAACTGACTTATGCTGTGTAAAATAATTTCACTTGAAAGTGCCAGGATGTGTGACCTTTAGGTCATCTTGTAGTGAAGGATTGATGTAGAAGGCACTATCACCTGTGAATTCAGTATGAAATTGATTTAATTCAATGTTTTGTTACAGGGACCCTACAAAGGCAGGACTGTTGAAAGCATACAGTATGAAGATATCAGTAAAACAGCTGACCAATAAACAGAAATATATTCCTACAGTAATCTCTCCTACGACTTTACCTATGTTATTACATGTACTGGTTCTATAATATTTCCTTAGACTGAAAAGCTAGTATCTGTAGTGTTTTTTTTTATTATGTATCATAAGATGCAACAAATAAATAGATGTTTTTACAATGCCTGGTTTTCACTGTTAGTTGATTGTGGGCTAATCAGAATGTATCTCTGCTTTTGTCATCACAACTTGTATAAACTTTATTGAAGTCAACAGAGGAAATGAGGCAGTTCATTTGAATTTTGTACAAGAGTCTAACTGTGGTTGCTATGTGTACCTAACATTTTCAAATATTCACTTTTGTTACATTATGACAAGTCAAAATCTTGTTAAATCTCCATTGCTTTGTCTGCAACACTTGTAAAGTGGTAGAATTCAGCAAAAGAAAAATATTTTGAAAACTGCAGATGCATTTCACCCATTATATATCTGCTGTAGTCCAAGTGATACCTGTGTTAATTTTGCATTTACTGTTAGTAGTGCTTTATAACCATGTTTCAATGTCACTTTTTTTTATCAGACAAATCACTAGTCATAAAATTAATAATGCAACACAAATAGTTTGAAAGCAATTTAGTAAATATATTTTTGTACATGTAGTAGTTGTAAGTGTACACCTGTAAGACAATTACATATTGCCGACTTAAAGACTCCATGAACACTTAAAATAGATGGGGGAAAAAGATGCCCACAAATTAGTATGCCTCACATGTCTTCACTAGTTACATGTAGTTATAATACGAGGAACTAACCATATGAGATAAAAAGCGACATGCTAGGGTTCTTCACACATTAAATTCCACAGGATATGGTGGCTCATTTGCATATCCATACCAAACAAAAGGAAATGTAACAAGCCATGCATGGCACAGTTTCCATTAGTTATCAAATTTAGGATATATAGTTTTGTTTATAGTAATATAGCTGGATTATGATTGTTTAACATTTGTATCTGATCATCAAACAAGTACTTGTCCATATTGCTCTGGAACAGCATTAATTGAAACAAAATCAGCCATTTTGAATAAAAGTATATATCTATAACATGTTGTATAATGATTTTATAAAATTTGAACATAATCAGTCAAAGTATGTCAGAGATATGGCTCTAGAAGCCCATTCATTAAAACAAAATGGCCACCAGTCAGCCATTTTAAATCAATAAAGTATGCATCGAGGTCCTATAATGTCCATTGTATATACCAAGTTTGAACAAAATCCATCTGTAAACAGCCGAAAAATACTTGATTTTGATGATTTTTCATTACAAAAATGGCTGCCATGCGGCCATCTTGAATCAGATCGTGAAACAAATTGATGTGCATATGTATAATATACGTGTGAAGTTTGAATGTAACTGGTCCAGGCATGTCTAAGATACAGGTCCGGACAGAGGTCAATCCCCGGTTTTTGGACTGCGTCTGACAAGCATTCTTACTATTGAAATAACTCTTCTGAGTGTCTTTCTGCAAAGATGGTAATGTTCTGTATTATGAGATATTAGTTATTTACATGGTTACAACTCATTGTTTATGGGGAGAGGGATGAATGGATACAAAACCATTCAAGCATATCAAATATGGTTGTTTTCATGGCAAGTTTAACTATGCAGGAGCAGTCCGTGACATGAATTGAAGTGATGCTAGTACTTTTCAAGAAAAAGTTGATATCATAAAAATAAAAAAGATATTGTCACAAAATAGACAAATCTGGTAGCTGTTTTTTCAAGAAAAAGTCATTTCCATCAGACATACAGATCTAATAAAAAAAAATTCTTAATATTACTTGAATACTAACCTCAAATGCACTGTAAAACATGTCCATTTCGCTAATAGAAAGTATATTCTCACAACGAGATTAATAGCACTAATTTAAGATTACAGTTTGTGTATGTTAATTCATGCATTGTGTCAAAGTTAAATATAGTACCGGTATATTACGTTCTTGAATAATTTTCACAAATGAATAAAACCATTATGTGTAACAAATTTCAGTCTCACATTCAATCTTCTAAAAGTTTCATATTTCGAAATTACTGTTTGAAAAATAACAAAAAAGTATAATCCGTTGGCTGCTACTAAAACGTTTTATTTGTTGCATTGCACTGAGGGGTACAGATGATAAAAGTCATAACAATGACATAAAATTCAAGAATGGACAGATTGATTGACACAAATACATAAAGCAATACTTCAATTTGTTTGTTTGTTCAGTGACATTTCCCTAGATGTCCAATTCATTGTACAAGTTGTCCTGTCAAACAACTGTACCACTGTCATGGCACTTAGTTCCTTGTTTATCACATGTTATTTAAACTAGAGATCTAAAACTCCTTGTGGAGTACATTATATCGCCAACTATTATAATGAAAAGATTAAATACAGATTAGGTTGTAAGAAGTCTACCTAAAATTACAAAAAGTGAAACTGTGTAAGTCATAAATTCATTTCATTTACTACAGACAAATAATACTGATAGTACAATATAAACCAGTCATTGTCAATGACATAGTCCTTGTTAGTATATATATTAAGTATATATATATAAACTGATGTGTGTGAAGTTTAAACTTGATCGATCCATGCAAGTCAGATATATGGATTTAGAACTGCATTGCAAGTCAGCCTGATGTTTATTACCTGGTAAGATCTCATTATGTTCAACATCTATTTTAAATTTGAACAGAATCTGTACATGCACGACTGAGATCCAGTTTCGTAATGGTGAAAATGTGTGATTTTGATGCATCTTGAATCAGATCATGGAACAAAATCTTGTGCATATTTCCGTTATATTGTTTGATGTATGTGTGAAAATTCAACTTAATTGGTCCAAGCATGTATACAGCTGGATATGAACGCACACACAGAATTCAATCCATAAAAAAAATAATAGTAACTCATTTCCAAGTGAAAACAATGTATACAATGTTCACTTGATTCCATAGACTGGCCTTAAATTATCACAGTGGCACATGATTCTCCAGACTTCTTCAAACTATGATTAGAGTGCCAGTTTGAATCACATTAGAAATCTTACCACACTAATGCAGACAAATGTTCATTTAGAAAATTATCTCCTAGGAGACAAATTGTGAGTTTGACAAATTTTAACATACATTCAATGTTTTATCAATTTGTTCTCATGCTTGTCATTTCTCAGTGGCAACAATCTTTAATGTTCTTTTTCAATTTTGACAGTGCTGACTACTCCCTCTTCTTTCAGAATATGCAGGATAGGCTCGTAAATTTCTTTCTGAAATGGAACTACCATGCCTTTCTGTTCAATTTCACCTACAAATAACAAATATGTTTATAGAGATTACTGGCATAATTCAGATCATGTATCATAAAAAAATATTTACAGATTAAAATACTTTTTAAAATACATTTACTCTTTATTATTGCAATAGTATGCTGTTCAAAGTACCTTTAATTGAAGGACATACAAACTAACAGATTCATTTATTGTCACAGATGAATTGAAACTTGGTCTGTCATAGACAAACCTTGGTCATTTATGTAAGTACATGTACAACACATTCCAAGCATAACGCCCAAGTTAGCCATCACCTGGATTTGGCATTTCATAAAAACTACAAACATTTGACTACAAACAAAAAAGTATTTGTATTTGTTTTGCCTTTTGAGATGATCACTAATGAGTAATAGCAGTTACACATATACACACATACATCTCTGATACTAAAAATGACTTGTAGTGTGAAATGACAGTCCATATTATGTAAATGATGCTCATCAATACATTTATTTATGAACCTACCTTCCAGCAGCATTTTAGAAGCAATTGCACATGGTAATCCTACAGTCTTGGCCATTGCAGAGTATCCATCAGGGTCGCCATATACAATTAAATCAATGTGATGTGTTTCTCTTGTATCATTTGGCCATAGAATGCCGATATCATGTCTCATAATAATCATGTCACGTTCACCAGAACCTGGAGAGAAGAATTCTTATGATTGTGTGGATGTAACAAGAAGTTTGGTGACCAATACTGATTGTCATACATGATGAACAAATTTCACAATTTCAATGAACCCTTGAAAATGTGATAGTCGATACAATTTGTTATCACTATAGCAACAACTGTTTGAATACAAGAGTTTAACATACCAGCTGAATTAACAATCTTACAAGTCATTGTCAATGACACGTCCCTGTTCCGTTCATATTTGAGTGACATATACATTCAAAGCAGATCATGACCGAAATGCACCTGCATATGTACAACACATTGTACTAAATCTGAACAAGTCATGAATGACACTGCCTTCGCTAGTTGTCATTCTAAAGTTGCATGGACATAAATTGGCAAACGTGATTTCTATGGCATTTTCAAGTTTATAGCACTCTCCATCCAGGTCAGCATTATTCTCAGCAAGGAAACCAGATAGCACCAAACCAGTACAACAGGTAAAATGACAAG